ACACACACACACACACACACCCCCCCCCACACACACATACATACACACATACACACACACATACATACACACACACATACACACACGCACGCACGCACGCACGCACGCGCGCAATATTGGTCAATTTGGTGGTGAAAAAAATAAGACAAACAGACAAGAACAACAGAGGGAAAATAAAGAAGTGGGACCTATCTGTGACACCCTCTAACCACCTGCACTAATCAAACAGCATAATTTCTGGATTTAAATTCCAAGGTGACTAGATCGTCCCTCTAGGAATCTTGGAATCGTTTTCTCTCCGACCTGGTGTTTTGTCTACAGGTCAAAGTCTGTAGTCAAGACACAAAACCGTCAGATGTGGATAAATGGATTCGCTTATGAAACGTTCATTCGATCACCGAGCAGGGAAGTTTGTTTCGATAGATGGTCCCTGACCATCTGCAGGAATATTATCTCACTCAGTCCAGTTTGGCTCAGGCAAGCAGGGTCAAAGCAACACGCTTCCTAATTGATCTAAATTGTGTCAATGGACGCGTAAAACATTCACATTTACACGTACTACTCATTATTATTATTATTATTATTATTATTATTATTATCATCATCATCATCATCATCATCATCATCATCATCATTATTTTATTCTATTTTTTGGTTTTGGGACGTGAGTTTTATTCATTCATTTTAAAATTTATTCATTTATTACTTTATAAAACAACAACATAAGCTTGAAGAGGCTGCCAAAACTAAAAGAATAACAGCAACCGACCGATATAATTGTCATAATTTCCCATCAAAGACCAACAGTGTTCATCCAACAACTGTATTTCTCTTCCGTAGCCCTGTGATGGACAGAGCTGAGAACGAGACTGGCCCGGCGTTCAGGGAAACGGACTTCCAGAAAGGTTCTAGTGGTCAGTTCTACGAGTTCTGGATTCACTGTATCATCCTGACGGTTGTACCATGGGTCACCGTGTTCTCTCTCAACATTATGATCATCTGGAAGGTAAGCAACTGGCTAGCTACTCTTTTCAATGCCGCTACCTTAGAATTACATACAGAGTTTTGTCTGACATTTTTGGCCGTTTTGAGTTACGGAGACCATGAGGTCAGAAACCAAATGTACTATCTGCTCTATCATAATAGTAAGATTATTCGGAGTCCTTATCTAGATATTCAAAGAATTTTTCGAAAACGTTTGACATGTAGTGTGTAACGCAAACTTTTGTAACGTCAAATTTCTCAAAACTGGGTACTGACCAGATAGAACTTTATAATTCTGAGGTAGTGATCTGTCACGACACGGTGTAATCAGGTGCTCACCAGTTTGGGGCGCTCGAAGTTATTGGTGGTAGCATTTTAAAGCTTATTAATTTGTCTTGCTTTTGATTTGTGTTTCTTTAAGCATTCATTTATCATGAACAGAAGTGGGGATGACGTAAAACAGTAATTTTCTTATGGGAAGGAGTTCCAATTCTTATTGGGGCATGGAAAGAAAACGTGTAAACTATACAGACATATGTTATAACTGTGACAATATAAACCGCCGCTATGGTGTAGCAGCCAGGGCGCTTTGCTGCTGCTCACAGAAGATCAAGTTCGATTCTCGAGGTGACAGAAATTGTTTTATTGAGTACATCGGTCTTCCTGCTGTGATGTTGACATTGGCAGACAAAGCGGTCGTAATCCCACCACAAAAAATCTAAATTGTGTCGATAGGGGCGCCAAAAAGCTACATTAATTAAAAATGACAATAATATAACCTCCAGCTGACGCGATCCAACAAGAAAATGGCGGCCAAGAAGACAGCTGCGGCGGCGCAGAAGAGCAAGCAGTCCGAGAACCAGATCACACGGCTGCTCCTCACCGTTACCTTCACGTACCTGTTCTTCAACGGCCTGCATTGTGTGGTCCAGTGTTTCTACATGCAGCGACCGCCATGGGTAAGTCATCTTTTCCATTGTTGCGTTTTTACGCCCTCACCAACTCAGTTCAAATTAATCATTAAGGAGACAGGCTTCTGACCCTGCCTGTTAGGGCCAGCCCAGGCTGAGAGAGAAACAGCATCCCAGTAAAACAACTGAGATGGTCGATACAAATTTTTCCCCATTCGGGCATCGAACCCGGATCTCCTGAGTACGACAACAAGACGCTTAATCATACGTCACAGACACCAGTCCGTGGATGAGCGTAAGGCGTGCATGACACAATACATGCGTGGAATTGTCTGTAGATTTGACGCCCTTTGCAACCTTGTTAAGTTTTTCATTTAAGAGACCCGACCTCCCAATTTAACGTCCATCTCAGAAGGGCCGGGCAAAAAGGAAAAATTAATATAAAATACCTTTCCTACTTCCTAAGGACTCACCATCGGACTGAGCTGAGCCTCGAACCCTCAAACACTCGAACTTGTATTCTCGTGAAGAAGAAGAAGAAGAAAAAGAAGAAGAAAAAGAAGAAGAAGAATAATAAGAAGAAAAAGAAGAAGAAGAATAATAAGAAGAAAAAGAAGAAGAAGAAGAAGAAGAAGAAGAAGAAGAAGAAGAAGAAGAAGAAGAAATCGCTTATTTGTAAACATCCCTACCCCAGGCCAACATGAATCACGTATCCACGGCGTACTCGTGCTCCAAGACAGGGATCGTGATCTACGCGTCCACCAACTTCCTCCTCTACTGTCTCTCTGGACGCCGCTTCCGCCAGGAGCTGGCCACCATGCTGGGCTGTGCCAGTATGGACACAGGACAGCTGTCCGGACACACTGACCACTCGTCCTCCAAGTGCTCCACATTGACCTCGACCACCACAAGCACGGGATACTGATCACGTTCAGGAAGTCTGTCCTTTATAATAATTGTAATCGTTATTGTGTACGTCAAACCCCCCGTCGACACTATTAATAACATGTAGGAGGCGTGAAGCTTCAACCCTGCCTGTCATGGGCAGCACAGGATGAGAGGGACACAACGTCCAAGCAGAAAGACGGAGCTACTAGATGAAAATTCTCCCCATTCGGGAATCGAACTCACGTGTTCTTCGTAACCGCTACGCCACAGACGCTAGTCTACTCTGTCATTTGAAAGAGCAGTAAACAAAACAAACCACAAAAAACAACAAACCAACCACCTCAACCAAACAATCCCCCAACCCCCCCCCCCCTCCACAAACATATAAAAATGATCTTCTTGGTGTTTTTAGCTCTTGTCTGAAATAAGACAGCCTTCTTGCCATTTTGCGTGCCTGGGTTGTTCTGGTTCCAAGCCAGGTTTCTATGTCTAGTTGTCATCTTCTGTTCTTCTATGGGGGGTCTCTCCCTTCCTCTGTTTCCGTCTACCTTTACTTTCAGAATATGTTTCTGGAGTGAATCACGGCATCTGATAAGCCCAAAGTATTTCACTTCAATTTCATTCTGGAAGGTGCTGGCTTAAAAAACCACCCTATTCTTAGTATTAATTTCTTCTTTCTTTATTTTCTGTCTCCACGATATTATTGAAGTTCTTCAATAGCATTTCATTTCGAAAGCTGTAATCTTTTTTCCTCCATCTTATTCACTACGGGTAGGTGCTTCACATCCTTAACTTGCAGTAAGGAATATTATACTTCATTTTTGTATCTTTGCATTGTCTTTTCTAGATGGAAGTAATCTTTACGAGTTTTGATGTTGTGATTTCAATTCCCCGTTCAATTTCTATGGTTGTTTTCCCATATGCCTCTATCTTGGCACAGAGATATTATATTAACACCCCCCCCCCACTCTTTCTTTTTCTTCCTCATCAATATTCTTAATATAGGCTCTTCTTTGCATGTGTCTATGTCCATGATTTTGGTTTTTGTTACACTTGAGAGTATCCAAGTGGAGAAATGAAAGGAGAATCATGATTACTGATGCCTGATATATGTAATTATCCTTTCCTGTCGCCCTATTCTTTGACAACTTTGATTAAATTATCTAGTTCTCTTGGTGTTGTGGCAAAGAATGCATTTCTGTCTGCATCTTAAGTCTTGTATTAAATGTATTCCTTGTATTGTTGGCTTGTCATATTCATCTCTTTAAAAAAAATCTTGCTCCAGTTCCCGAATTATTCCCTTTGTGTATAATGTTAAAGTGATTTGTGGGAAAGTGTGCGTCCTTGTCTCACTCATTTTGTAAAAGGAAACCATTCTGATGTTCTGCATTCAAGCTGTACTGTCGAGTGTGTCTTTCATAAAGTAATTTTATCATTTCAGTCAGTTTTGGATGAAAGTTCATTTCTTGCAGAGTTTGCCACATCATTTATTTGATGGTTTACATAAATCAAATGCTTTTGAATAAGCGATCAAACGTGAGTGCAAAGTGGCATCAACGTCCAGATACTTCTAAATGATAATAAGATTTAAAGACTGAATTAAGATGGCCCCTTGTTCCTATGTTCGTTCTAAATCCTGACGATGTCTTTTTTCCATCCTCTTCTAACTTGATTTCAATTCTTTGCAGAATAAATATGCAACATTTTGTTTGCTTGACTAATCAGAGATTATTGTTCTGTAGTTGGGGCATAGTTGCAGCTCGCTTTTCTTTGGTTAAGATCTTAACCCTCCTACCCCCCACCTCTCTTACTCCCCCCTCAATCTGTCTTTCTCTCTCTCTGCCTGTCTGTCTGTCTGTCTCTCAATCTCCCCCTCTCTGTCTATCTCTGTACCTCTCATCCCCCCCTCTCTCTCTCTTTCTCTCTCTCTCTCTCTCTCTCTCTCTCTCTCTCTCTCTCTCTCTCTCTCTCTCTCTCTCTCTTTCATCCCTCACTATTTGAAGACAAAAAGTAAAAGCAAAGACGTTGGTTCAATTCCCATGTGTGGAGGTTTTCAATTAAGTTATTTTCGTCTGTCTGCTGGGACATTGTCTTCCTCTCAGCCCGGATTGGACCTGATAGGCAGGATGGGGCAGCTCGCTAGCCAAATACAATACATGTAATGTATTTTTGTGTCGATCTGGGCGTAAAAACTTCTGCAATTAATAATAAAGAAATACAGTTTACCAATGGCGTCCTCGTAATTAATTGTGTCGACCTAAAGGTGAATGGAAAGTACAATGTATAATAAAATCGTAACTGTTGTGCTACTGTGCTGTTACTTCAAGGAGGTTGTAAATAAATAATGTAATATGTGTCACGACGCTGTACGTGGAATCAGGCGCTGGTCAATTTTCGGGCCTATGGAGTTATTGGTATAATCTTAAAGCCTGCTGATTTACTTTGCTTTTGAGGAAATTTCTTACCGTATCCATCTTGAAAAGAAGTGGATACATTTGAGACTGAAGGAGGTAGGGGATTGCCTTGTGTCAGAGGTAACATTAGCGAGAAAATAACCACCAAAGTTGGGTGACTTCCAAAGCTGTAGGGACAATGGAAATGCAAACTTCCTTTTTTATGCCCCCGATCGACGTTTTCAGAAAAACCCATGCAGGAATGTGTTTTTAAATAGTTGCAATAGGTGTTGGGCCAAAAACAACAACAACAAAACAAAAACAAAAACCGATAAAAACTGCCCAACAGTGGAAAAACGTTGGTTTCTTTGATGTTATTATTTCGACTAGCGATTTGACCACAAAGCCTCACATGATATTCCAAGTGTCCTTGTGCTGCTTGCAGTTGTCGCTGCTGCTGCTATGCTGTTCTCCTCCAACTAGTGCTGCCACTGCAGTTGTTAACGCTTCTGTTACTGAACTGTGGTGTCATTGTAAACTTTCATGAAAGTAATTGTCATGGAGTCTGTAAATCATTTAGTAGGCTGGCTGCACCGACTCTGACACTTAAGGCCCTAGCCCCTCAATGCTGGATGTTAGCTCAGTTGCCATCATACTGGACTACGGAGCGGTAGCCCTGGTTCGAATCTCTGTCTGGGCTTTTTTGAACTCGAGTCGTATTGTGGAGTTTTCTAAAGCTCTGAACCCATCTGGCTAGGTCTTATCGGAGACAGACGTGAAATTCGGAGGTACCGCCTTTTAAATAACCTTTTAGTGTTGATAGGGGCGTTAAACCGATACACTTATTTTTACATCCAAAATGATTAAAATTTGACCTGTTTCAATAGGGGCGCAAACCTAACCCTAGCCGTATGGGCCACAACGTCCAAGCTAAACGTTGGAGATACTCGATGACACAGTCTTCTCCACCCCACAATCGACCTCATCATGCCTTCAGTGTGCAACGGCCAAGAGCCTAATCATTACGCTACAATCATTTTGGCCTTGGCGTGAATCGTGTTGCTTAAGAATTTACTTAAAGTTTTGCAAAATTAAATCAAAATAATTGTTGATGCTTTTATGTCACCATCAACGCAATTTAAATCATTTGGAATGGCGGGCTGCGTCGACCCTGTCTTCAGGACCAATCTGGGCTGAGAGGGATACAATTTCCTAACGGACAGATGGAAATATTTCATAAATCCCTCCCAACAGTAGAATTGAACCAATTTCTTCTGGTCGAGGGTGACGACACTACAAACGCCAGCAGTTTTCATTTTAATGGCAAAAGCCCCTGCCCCATAGCGCAAACATCTACCACAGCCGCTTTCACCCGAAGGTAATAGATATTTTTCTTCATGGCACGAATAAGAATCTTGATCGGCTACGTATGTCTGAAACGCAGTACAGCTTGTAAAATGTATAGGTATTTCAACACGACTGTCCAGATCATATTTAGGAGGCCGGCTTTGACTCTATCTGTCAGGGACATCCCGGGCAGTGAGGGATAAAACATCCCAGCAGAAAGACCGACGGAGGTACGGTACTCACATTGCTTTATATATATTATCCTCCCTCTTGTACCGTTATATGGTGCGTTTGAGAAATTCAAAAGAAATTCTTCCCCACCCGGAAATCAAACGCGGGTCTATAATTGCGTGCGACGTCGAAGCTTTCACAACTGCTTCATAATCATACCATCATGTACACCACAGTGGACGTTCTAAGGAATAACAGTGGGTCACCCGATGTGTACTTGAATGCCATCACGTCGAGTTGTAGGCTTTTCAAGATAATAAAGACTTCTTATCAACCTTCTATTGATGAATATTGGAATTGGTTGTTCCAAGTTCACATTTTCTGCTAAAAGCAGGGTACAGCCTCTGTGTTTTCCATAGCAGCAATCTCATTTTGACCCCTCGGTGACCTATGATGTTGTGTTTCTACAAACCTTTGAAGAAAGAATTATGACGTTTTTCTTAAATTAAAATAAAGAGTAGGCATACTATTTTTACACACACACACACACACACACACACACACACACACACACACACACACACATACACACACACACACACATACACACACACACAAAGACACAAACACACATACACACACATACATTGACACACATTGACACACACACATACTTACGCACAGATACACACACATCAGTTCATACGAAAACAAGCTTACGTTAAGTAAATATGTACAGATTACAAGTAACATTAAAAACACAAGCAGAATCAACATAGGCTATCATTTGAAAAGCATTAAAAAGACAAAATTTAATTAGCACAGAAGACACAGCAGCAATCCATACAGGTTTCAATAATAATTGTAGATGGATGTGAATTTTGACAACGGAAAATACAAACAACATTATGATCCCTCCTTCCGAAAAAGAAAAAAAGAAAGAACGAACCAAAAAGAAAGAAAGAAAGAAAAAAGACAAACACTGAACTCTTAAAAAAAATCCATCCCTTGAAAAAGGGAAAACTACTACCAAAAAGTTATCAACAAAAATAAAAAACAAAAACAACATTAACAACAATATCCACAACAGCAACAACGACAACAACAAACAAACAATAGCAGCAGCAGCAACAAAAAAAACCCAGCAATAATAAACAGTATTAAGATCAGGGTTTACTCAGCAGTAAGAAAGGCCAGAATTCTCGTCATAGAAAGAACCACACTGTGCCCGTTAGTGAATGGAATAAGTAGAACTGAATAAGCCCCATAAGGAACCAAAAGTAAATACAAATATATACATGTTATAAGCTACTATAACCATCCAGTCTCTGAACACACAAGTTGCACAGCTTTGATATTCCTAGAGATTTGAATGAATATAGAAACAAGCATACAGAAATGCAAATATATATGTTCAGGTCCAAATACTTGAAACAATAAATATAGAAATCTGTTGATTACTGAGAGATATATTACATGTCATCGCCATCATTCAACATTGCAGAAAGTCAAATTTTCTAAAAAACTGAAAATCAATTAAGTTGAGGAGTAGATAAGACTCCCTGATTGGCGCTATAGTCTTACTCATCCTCTAAAGATAGCAACAGATTTAGAAGAACTAAACATAAAATACTGCTCGAAATAAACTGTTTAAAAAAAAATTCTCCTCTCCTTCTTCTTTTATGCGTTCCCCTGCTAGATCTCAGGGGTAGTCGACTCCTGGTTCTTCAACTTGCAATGCGACTGATTTTTGGGTATGTGACCATTTTCCCTATTTAGTAGGGCCCCTTGCCTTCAGGCAGCAAAATTCCATTTTTAAAGGCACTCTAACTGTTTTTATATTGACTACTTTACTTTAATTTACTTTACTTTTCCGATCCAGCGGCCATTTGGGTTCTAGCCCTTTGGTCTGTCGATATGGCAAAGAATAGGTTATATTGACTACAGTATTGTCATTTTGGTAGAAACTTAAAATTTTCCCAGGTGACAGCTGAAGCTTATTCATATCGATTTAAGGTGGTTGGACGGCGCTGCTGGTAGGCCCTACTTCTTTACTTTCCCTCTGTTGTTTCTGTCTGTCTGTCTTACTTTTTCCCAGCAATAAAAGACCGTAATTGTGTCAATGTGCTTCTCTTTACTCAAAAACTCAAACCAAGGGATCTTCAATGTGAGTAAATTGCGAATGGGACCTCCAAGATTTTTGGCCTACCCTGAGAAGATTCAGGGTGTGGCTAGAAGACAGCAGTAAGAAGGGGCAAGTATTAGCTGTAGAAAGAAGTCGGGAGTAAAGGAGAGAAGAGCACAGAGGAGGGTGGAGGATGGAGATGAAAGCAGAATGACTAAACATGACTTGAGAACATGAAAGGAAGTGAACAGAAACAATTCTAGAGAAGAAGTATTTTCGGTTGCTGTCAGGCTTCAAACCGTGTATTTTAACATTAGACAATGATGAATGATGGTGACGAAGTTAATCTGAGAGATTCAGTACAACAGAACAAGATTATTGAAAGCAACGTAGTTTAGTCAAATTTGAATGTACATGTCATTGTGTGTCTACGTTTACTGCGCAGTTGAATTTTTGGTTGTTTATACACAGATTCATTTGGTGCACTAAAATGTGGCATAATATTATCATGTGTGTGAGCCTGGGGACGAATCTAAAGAGTCGGCAGTGCTGTTTCGAGTAAACGGCTGCCCCCCCCCCCCCCAAAAAAAAATGTTAAAACAATTTGTGATTTCTGGATGGAAACGAAATTCTTAAAAAAAAATTCCATTGATTTGACCATTTCTGAAGCACACACTAGAAGAATGTCAGTTTGATTTGGCTTCTTCGCATCTTATAAAAAGTTATTTGAAAAGAGGATGTTATTGAGGCTAGCAGAAACGTAGAACTTAGAAGAATCCTTTCTCAAATACTTGTTTTTGTATAATGGCTCAAAAGCTGTGTTGCTTCTTGAGGGCTTCTCCAGTCATCTCAACACTTTACACAGTATTTATTCAACACTCGATTCTCTATTTTAAACTATCAACTTATTTACTCAATGTCTGACTAAACAGGTGCTTCTCAGGCCACACACATAGATAGTAATATTTAATGAAGTGTCATTTTTTCTGTTTTTGTTCAGTGGACTGGATGTCTAAGATTAAAGAAGGATCTAATAGGGTAATAAAAACAGGACTGGCCAAGGAATTCTTAGCAAAATGATTGAGGCAGAAACTCTCCGAAAGCCTTTGACCTCTGAGAGCTCAAGAAAATGCCTCATCAATTAGCCTTCGACATCAATCTCTATCATTATCATAATTTTAAAAACTCCATCCACTCCATGACATTATGATAAGAATTGTCTTGAAAATTATTTGTTTGTTTCAAAATGCACTGTATCCCTCGATATTTTGTATGATATACTTGCGTTTCATTTATATTTTATATAGAGAGAACACATAAAAAAAATAAATTCTCACTTTTGCAGCAAATTGTATATTATAATATATACATACATACACACATGTGTAGTCTCTCTTTTCAAATCTGCTATACCAATTAGAGTTGTCTGATCCTGGCTGGCTTTTCTTCTACTTCCTATTCCCTAAATGTCTCGAATATGCGAACAAAGTTCTCAAAACGTTCAAGTTCGTCATCCTCATAGGAGAGGTCTGGAAGCAAGGCCATATCAACATTTAGATCAAATCCCAGGGTTGGATCCCCAAATCCAATCAAAACAGAATAGTTTTCAGGAAAACAATTCATTGCTCAGGATTTGTAAATCAATGTTAGTAAGTGAAGTCATTTAAAGTCGCCATCAAAACAGTTAGATCATGTAAACATTATGTGAACAGATGGTTATTCAAAATATATGGTGGTTAAGATTTTACTTACTGTTGTTGAGCATTTTAAAGATTTTCTTTGAACAATAATATAGAGCGCATCGTATCTTCTGATTAAGATGTGGATGCAAATTTTAAAAATGAACTTCCCAATCACATAATCTGTACGCTGTTTACAGATCATAGAAAAATACCCCTCTTATCTTCTGGTTAGGATCTTTGCTCACGAGTTGAAGAAATAGCACCATAGAGTGAAAGTTTTTGGCTGTTTTCTTAAAGCAGAAAAGTATGATATATGAACATACATAGCTTATTCTCGTATCAAGAGACCATGAAATCTGACCCTGAATGATTATAATTGGTGTATATGAATTGTGGTGTTCCCATTTGTTTTGCACAACATGTAAAAAAAATGTTACTAATCAGGCATCCTTGAAGTCCCTTTGTCCCTCCAATTCTGGCCCTATGCATCATTTGAGTATGCCAGATTTGTGGTTCCATAGCCTGGACTTGACTTATCCTTGTCTCCTTCGTCGACTGTCCCATTGCCATTGGCCGGGATGTCATTACCCAAGTACTTGAGCCCCGCCCCCGTTGATAAGGTCGTGTCTCCGTTAGCTTCCCAAATGGCTGCAACTTCTTTGAAGGTCTTTCCTTTGGTCTCCGGAACTTTGAAAAATGTGAATATGAAGAACAACACAAGGAGAACTGTAAAGGGCAGAAACGTGTAGTCCTGAAGACCCTCCTGTAGATAAGAAGAAGACAGGTATGTAAGTTGATATTAATGAAATTACCCCAGTCATTCAACTACTGTCAAATGGAAAAAGGGTTTTCTCAGGCAGGAGGATGTCTTGGACAATGTCATCATAATATCGTAAAAAAACAAGCAAGGGGGCGAAGTGGGAAATAGAAGTTTGTACAGGTGATTGTCTCGGACAGGCGGGTGTTGGAGCAGGTTCAACTGTATTCATTTTTATGAAAAGCTATTGTCTGCCAGTCTGTCATTATCTGTTACTTTATCAGAAAATGTAATGTCTAGGATCTGCGTTGTTGTGCACAAAAGATACTAGTTTGAATCCCAGGTGGGCAAGTCTCTTTTGATTTTATCTCGTATCTCGTGTCTTTGTGTCATAATATTACGGATGTGGGGCAGAAGAGCCAGGGGAAGACAAAGAGTAACTTGGATGGACAACATAAAAACACGGACTGGCAGAATATATAGATATGGCAGAATGTGCAACGGCAGCTCGCAACCGTGAAAGATAGAGAGTCATTACATGCCAACCTCAGAGTCAGAGATGACACCATCAGGTATCCAGGTATTATCTACTTCACAGCCCCAAATTGACCCTGACAGGCAGGTGGCCTTCTAATGATCCAAAATGTGTCTGGGGGGGGGGGGGGAGGGGGTTAAAACAGTTTAGATCTTTTAAGGATTGAGGGGGAGGGGTTGTCATTTGATATGTGATAATCGGGAGGTTTGTGTTTTGTGTTTGCTTCAAGAAAATACTAGTGGGGGGCAGGTGGGGGTTAGGAGTTGGGGGGAGGAGAAACACAATGCTGCGTGTTTTCTGCAGATGGTTGAAAAACACATGAACACCCTGGGTATGAATCTGAGTGTTGTCTGTATCCTTTTTCCTTCCAGTTCAGTATCCTTGGACAGTGTGAGTTGTGTGTCGAGTTCTGTGTTGTGTCGAGTGACCTGTTGGATTTATACAATGAGTTATGTTGTTGTGTGTTGTGTTGTATGACAAGTTGGTTTATTGTACTGTTTGGTACGCTGTGTGGTACGCTGTGTTGAGTTGTGTGGCATGTCGGCGTGTTGTGTTGTGTTGTGAGGTATGTGAGGAGTGTCTGTGTGTTGTGATGGGTCATGAGCTCAGTAATGAGTTTTGTGGTGTGATGCTTGTGCACTGTTTTGCATGGGGTCGAGTGGTGTGCGCAATTGTGTTGTGGTGGCGTGTTGTGCTTTGCTGTGTTGTGTTTTTGCCGTGACGTGAGTTGTGTTTGTTGTATATTTTGTGCTGTAAGTCTTGTTGTGTTATATTCTTTAGTGTGCTGTGCTGTGTGTTGTGTTCTTTCGTATTGTGTTAACTATTATGTTGCCTCCTGTAGTGTGTTGCACTTTTCAGTCATGAAGTAATGTGTGAAGTGCTGTGTTGTGTATTGTACCTGTATAGAGGGAAACACAAATCCCACAATAAAGCTGAACAGCCAGTTGACCAGCGTACAGACGGACATGGCAGCTGGCCGCGCACTGTGGGAGAACAACTCAGCCACAATCAGCCATGGGATGGAACCTGGGAAAAATGGGGATGTTAGTAATAATAACAATAATAACAAAAATGATAATAATTATAATGATAATAATAACAATAATAAATAGTAATAATAACAAATTATCTCAAACAAAACATTTTGAAAAGCTAGCAAACAATATGGGGGCAGAAAGCCAGAAGTGATCATGTCCATTTTGGCCAAAAATGTAAAAAAAATATCATAAAGAAGGTATTCAAATGATATTGCATCATGCCTGTAAATATAAAACCAATCCGCTCTGTAGTTTTGCCACAGTCGCAGTTCTTGACATGTTTATGTCCAAGAGTTGTCTAGTACACCATGTTTAAAAATCTATCTTGCTCCAAACAAGGAACGCGGATATTCACTTCTATCTCTGAGCCGGCGGAAAAAAAGAAAGAAACAAACACAGCAATAACAAAAACGCCCCATTCAAGCAAATCATCATCATAAAGTAGCAGATCTGAAAAAGACATCAGCAATCATTGTTCTCCATTCATTTCTCTGCTCAGGTGCTCTAAAAAGTGGATATTATCCTGATGTTTCCCCATCACCCATTTTGTCAGGTTTTCCAAACAAGTTTCTTTGGGTCTACTATGCCTCGTTTGCCTTCTATTTTTTTAGCGAGATCAAAATGTTCAAAGCCTTTGTAACGAGCCAAAAGTCCTAAAAACAAATAGACAGCTGAATGTATGACTCTGCCATTGTGAAAAGTGACGTATGACGGAGTTTTACACTGAGCAGTCAAAACATTCAAGTAAAAGAGTCACGACGAGGTGGAATCAGGCGCTCGTCAATTTTTGGGCATGTGGAATTATTTGTGTCGTCTGAAAGCTGATTTATTTGCTATCAATGAAATAAATACCCATCTATCTTGAATAGAACTCAAGATATTTGCGATTGAAGGAAGTGAGGTGGCCTAGTTTCAGTGGTGAAATTAGTGAAATTAGAGAGAAAATGGCTGCCAGAGTTTTGTAACTCCAATAGCTAAAGAGTCCTTGAAAAGAGAAAAATGAAATATTTTTTGCCTGTAATCAATGTTTTTCAGTAAAATTCACACGTATATGTGTTTTAATATGGACATAAAAGAGGTTGAGCTAAAAAATAAAAATTCCAAAAAAATATCCAGAATTGCGGAAAAATACCTGTTTCTCCGATTTCTGTATTTCGACGAGCGCTTGATTTCACCACCCTGCGTCACAAATAAATATGTGAGGCATCGTGGTGAAATCAAGTCATCGCCAAAGTGATGAAATTGAAGATATTGGCATTTTTTTAAGGCACAAGAAATGTAAATTTTCAGTTTCCAAGGACTCTCAAGCTATAGAAGTCATCAAACTTTGATGGCCATTTTTCTTGCTAATTTTACATCTGAAACCAGGTGACCTCCACATCCTTCAGTCACAAATATCTCGACTTCTATTCAAGATAGATGGATTTTTTTTCACCAAAAGCAAGACAAATGAACAAGCTTTAAGATGATACTAATAACTCGATATGCTCAATAATTGGCCGGTGCTAAATTCCACCACATTAAGTAGTGTGGTCCACTTACCGGGTCCCAGGGCGAAGAACACGACGTAAAGCAACATGACTGGTATGGTGACTACATCAAACCAGGAGACCTGGTCCTGTGGTCATGAGAGAAAGTGGATGAGGAAGAGGGGTGGGCGAAGGGGGGAATAGGGAAGGTGGGGAGGAGAGGGTGGGAGAGAGGGAGTAAGTGGGTAGGGAAGGTCAGGAGGATTAGATGGGAGAAAGGGGGTAAGAGGGTGGGGGAGGAGGGAGAGTGGACAAAGTGGGGAGGAGTGGGAGGGGAAAGGGAGGGGGAAGGGAGGGGAAAGGGAGCAGAAACCACCAGTGAGTCAGTAAAAAGGCTTTATCAAAATATGCAAGTCCTAAGAAGTAAACATTTTAACTGGATAAATCATTAATAAAAAAAAAGTCAGAGCTAATCATTCTCCCACCCCAAGAAAAACAGAATTAAAAAAAAGAAACACTCATACACACATGCATATACATGCAAAGAAGAAAGAGGGAGAATAAGAGAGAGACAGAGAGCAAGAGCGAGAGAGAAAGAGAATGAAAGAGAGAGAGAGGAGAAAGAGAGTGACAGTGTAGCGGAGAGAAAGATAAGTAGATGGAGAGAGAGAAAGAAAAAGAAACAGACAGAGAGAGAAAGAGGGAGAGAGAGAGGGAGAGAGAGAGAGAGAGAGAGAGAGAGAGAGAGAGAGAGAGAGAAATAGAGAGAAACAAACAGAGAGACAAAACAGAGTGAGAATGAGAGAGAGAGAGAGAGAAGGAGACAGACAGAAAGACAAACAGACAGAAAGACAAACAATCCTACTAACCTCCAAAGCCAGCGAGATAGTGATGAGCACACTGAACACTGCCATGCCGCCCAGCCCAGCCAGGTGAAGAGTCCTACGACCCAGGCGGTCAATCAAAGGTACCGTTATTAAAGTCATAGTGACCATAACTGCTCCCACTGCACTGGTCGTATATTTGGCATCAGTTTCAGACATGCCAGCCTCCTCAAACAGACTCGTAGAGTAGAAAAACACCTGAAAAATATATAATTATTTGTAATTGTAGATATTTTGAACACAAATTTAGATATTTTAGGAGGCAGGCTGCTCATTCCCTGCTTGTAAGGGCCACAAATACAACGCCTAAACGAAATCGTCAAAAAGAAAACTACTGTGAGAAATAATTAAACCAACCAACAACTGTACGACCGTCACTAAAGATAAACTTACTTTTAGGGAGTCAAACAAACCCTCTACTGTCTTGGCTACTTCAAGGTCTTGGAAAAGAAGAATAAAGACGCGAAAGAAGCAGTGTACTTTACCTTGGTTTCATACTGGTAAGGGAAATAAATCTATAACCTTGTTAAATTAGTAAGTGTTGCAGGAGTGATGTCCCTTCTATTGAAAAAGCTTTCGCAAAGATCTTTTGCACATAATCCCCCCAAATGGATACTCAACTGCACCTGTCTCATAATATTGTTCTGAAGTAGCTGTATCTGTTGATTGTCTCCATAATCTACACAGGTAGAGTTACTACTTTGGTTAAGAAAAGCTATTAAGGGAAAATAAAGGTCTTGCTTTTCTTATCAGGCGTCTTGATTTGGCCCTGGATATTGTATGGTGTTACAAGGAACATGTTGCTCTTATTTTGTATCAGTTATAGCAATATCTTTACTGGTAAAGACTTCTTTTCAAATATGTTTCAGAAAACCAGTAGAAACCCTGGGAGCTGTGTAATCATCAAGTTTGGTAAGTCCGAAAGCTATTCTCTGGGAACATTTTACACTGTTAGCGCATGTTCAAAAGTGTTAACTGAAATCAGTTTCGTAAGTTCGGTTTAATGTGTGAGAGAAAAGAGAAGAACATCGACATGTTCATAGCCACTTTCTGCAGGGAAAACAAAGATAAACAGCCAGAAACAACAGAGGGAAAGAAAAGATGTATGACCAACCAGTACTGCCTTCCAACCAACCGCTTCTACAGAAGTGATGACATTAAAATACATGTACAGGTGGATTCATGAACAGGAGGGCACAGTCCCCAAAAACTGAGCAGCTGGAAGTTTCAGGATTGTAACTGACTGTGAATGTTATTTGCCCCCATCGACACATTTGACATACTTTAGTAGGAAACAAGCCGCTTCATCTTTGCCAAACAGGAGTCGACCTGAACTGACAGTGACACAACATCCTAGCTGACAGATAGATACACCTGTCCCCGTGGCTTCATGCAAAAAAAATTCTGAAATTATGCAAACTGATCCCAAAAATTTGAAATTATGCTATTCAGTTAATTTTAACAAAGAATAATAAAGGAAAATAATCAGAAATTATGCAAAAAATGATCAAATTTTGTTAAATTATACAGGGTGCATAAAACCTCAGGGACAGATATACTTCATGAATTTAGACTTTCCCACTTAAGAATCAAACTCATGACTTCTGTATGCCATTGTGACAAGCTCACCCATTGTACTACAGAAGCTGGTTTTGAACATCTCACTCAGTAAAGCAACAAACTAGAGCAATATCTCGACTCACCCCGTTGATTCCTGATAACTGTTGGGACAGCTGCATCACAATTCCAATGATTATCGGGGTGCGCAATGAGGGCAGTCTGAACAGCTGTATGATCGACACCTGGAGACAAATAGAGAGTACATAATAGTATAATAGTTGTAAGTACGTAAAGCATCCTGTAGAGTGCGGATATGTGTTATATAAATGCAGTTATTATTTATTCTTTCACAGGCATCATGATGAAATCAAGCGCTCGTCAAAAGAACGAGATCAAAGACATCAGCATTTCTCCGCTAGTTTGGCAATTTTTATCAAATTTTTGTTTTTTTAGCTCTTTACCTTTAATGTCAATTTAAAAACACATTAAGTGAGGATTTTACTGAAAAGCAATCATGAAAGGCACAAAAAAAGTAAATTTTCATTTCCAAGAGATCTATAACTATGGAAATCACCAACTTTGACGCCCATTGTGAAACTAATTTTACTTGTGAAACTAGGAAAACCCCACTTCCTTAAATAGCAAACGTCTCAACTTCTATTAAAGAGAGATGGATATTTTTTCATCAAAAGATAGACTAATTAACAATCTTTAAAGTTAAACCAATAAGTGCACATGCCCAAAAATTGATGAGCGCCTGATTCCACTGTGTCGCGACACATCTATAAAAATAACATTGTATCAAACACTGGAGACAAGTGGGGAAAAATAATGCTGTATGAACACTGGAGACAAGTAGTCTATAACTAAAATAATGTCGAGAGGTAAATGGACAATTACTAAAATATAATGCTGGAGACAATTGAGCAGCCACTTTATCTTTTCTGTACCCACATAGATGGAAAAGTCTCAGAAATGAAGAGGTTACTGTCTTTAAAAGTATGCTATTTTTGTTTATATATAAAGCCAGTGTTTATGGGACAATTTGCGAATCAAAAGATCTTACCGTCTCCTCATCTGCCGCCATCTCATGCTGGATTTCTTCTACCTCGTCTTCTACAGAATCTCCACCCCGTAGTGTGGTCAATGCTGGGGATGAGAGGGGAAAGGAGGAGAAGGGAGAGGAAGGTAGGGGAAAGGTGGGTCAAGGATGGGAGGGGAAGGGAGAGAAGGTTTCGAGAGAGGTAGGGAAGGGAGGAGAAGTTCAGAGTTGGGATGGGGAGGGGAGTGGGAGGAAGGGAGAGGAGAGAGGGTTGGGGTAGGGAGGGGATGGGAGGAGGGAAGGGAGGGGAGGGAGTGTTGGGTTGGGGAAGGGGAGGGGATGGAATACTCAAGTTTAGAATATTACGAGAAATTGAGTAGGCCTAAAACAAACAAATAATAGTTTGATTTGGTAAAACCTGCACTCGAACCCTTCTATAAGAGAAAGAGGTCCACAAAACAATGGCTATTTATGGGAAAAGCACAAAACAGACAGACCAAAACAACAGAGGGAAATGAAATAATGAGGACTAACCAATAGAGTTCTTTAACTTTCCACACCAATGAACCAGCATGCCATATTAACTCCAAATTGTATCTTCAAGCTGAGAGGTCACAGGAACAAACTGGGCATTGTGTAATTAGAGCGATATACGGTATATCCTGATTGTGAAGAAATTTGTAGATGCTGAAAACTACCAGTCAGCTCAAATTTGTCTATCTGCATGTATTCCCCCCCCTGCCCCCGCCCCCTACCCTCTCCACCCCTCC